TGTTGAATTTATATATCCTAAACACTAGTTCTTAGTGGATATGTGGTTTACAAATGTTTTGTTGCAGTCTAGAGTTTGTCTTTCCATCTTTTTATAGGCTATTTAACAAAGTGAAAGAATTAAATAGTTTTAAATTTTGATAAGATATAATATGTAACATTTTAAGCTCAGTTTTTTTACTAAAGGCAGTGTGCTGGAGTCAGCTTACATCAGCCCTTGATAATTGATTATCAAGTATTCAGGGATTTTGCAAACAGATTGCTAAGGGCAGCTTAAATTTGACCACTTGAGAGTATTTACACTGCAAAAATGAACAAATGGTACAAATTAGGGCTTTTGCTCATGCTTCTTCCAACACTACTTGTCCTCAAAATGTATAACAGTCCAAAAAAAATAGAATAATTTATATTATAGCTTTTTAATTTTTAGAATTATCTTAATTTTAGATGAACCTGTTTTAAAAATTTATTTATTTAACCTTATTAAGTAAATTAGGAAACTCAAATTTGTATTCACTTTACCCATAATTTATATAGAGAAAAATAAGCCTAACTGGATTTTTTTTTTAACAAGAAATAGACACACCTATTCTGAGGGCAGTACAAGTAGTAAAACAAATGATGATAAAATTGACTCAGAAGAAATAAAGATGAAATGAGTTTGTATTGGTTTTACTCAAGTGAATTTAATTTCATAGCCATTGTGAACAGCTAAACCATAGTATTTCAACCCTTTGGAAATGTTTTGGCAAATGAAGCAATGAAAACACTAACATTTGGCCGGACGCGGTGGCTCAGCCTGTAATCCCAGCACTTTGGGAGGCCGAGGCGGGCGGATCACGAGGTCAGGAGATCGAGACCATCCTGGATAACATGATGAAACCCCGTCTCTACTAAAAATACAAACAAGCAAAAAAAGTAGCCAGGCGTGGTGGTGGGCGCCTGTAGTCCCAGCTACTCGGGAGGCTGAGGCGGGAGAATGGGGTGAACCCGGGAGGCGGAGCTTGCAGTGAGCCGAGATCGCGCCACTGCGCTCCAGCCTAGAGACAGCAAGACTCCGTCTCAAAAAAAAAAAAAAAAAAAAAAAAAAAAAAAGTTTAAAGTTTCACATAAGTGTATTAGTGCTTTGTGGGCTTCTTGTTAAATGTCACTACAGGTTGCTTAGATTAGTATAAGCATATACATTTGCTGAGACATCAGTGAAAGATTGGATCAAAGATGTTTACTTGGAAGTATTGGGTGAAGTTTTGGCAAAGATGGTTGCTCAGCTATCACTTTCTAGTAATACCATAACATGCTGACATGTGGTATAAAATATTAATTCATAGAATAAGTGAAGCTGCTGAAACATCTTCCACTGTCACTTGACTAGTACTTGTGTAATTTACACATGGTGATGTAAATATGAAGATTTATTTTTTCCTCTTTGGCAACAAATGTGATTAACTCTGAGCTACCTAAAATTCTGAAAGATTACATTGTAAGCAAATATGGTCTTAAACTGAAGTTTTGCATAGTTATATATTTTATACTGAACCTATGATGACAAGAAAACATGCTGGTTGCCTAGATGAAAGAACTCGTACTAGAATATAAGTCACTATTTCCTTCATGGAGAAAGTCTCACTATGGAAAAGAAAAGCAGTTGAACTAAAGTGTTCTTAATGACATTAAAAACTGAATTACATAAGGTTACAGCATTACTTCTTGAATACTATCATCTTTATTATGTAATATTATGGATGCTGATCTGAACACTAGTTACTGCCTTTTCTAGTTTTTAAGTAGAACTACTCTGTTAAATATTTCAACTACCACACAAATGTCCTGTTATGGCAAGTTTTGAAACCAGTTTGACCTCAGACTTTTAAGGATATGAATGAGCCATGCTTATTTACTTGTTTGAGATCTTCGATATTTTTAATGATTTTAATACTTCCATTCAAGGAAAGAATATAGAATGTTTTTCATGAACTAATGACAAAAATAAAAGTTAAATGCTTGGATGAACAGTTTCTACAAGTTCTTATGACATGTGTAAATGATTCAACAATTAGCAATAAGTGGTGGTGGTAATTGTGGTATTAAACATCTGTGAAAAGTTAGCAGCAAAACCTTACACATTTGTTTCCAATTTAAATTTTATTTTCCATCAAAAGAATACTTATACATCAAAACTTTATAGAACCAGAATCTATTTCTTTCATCAGATGTAATATGTTAACTGTAATTTTATACCACTTTTTTTTAGAACTGAATACTAATGAGGATTGAAGATTAATTTTGAAACTTCAGTATCACTTTCTTAATATCATCTAACAGTTAAAATAGAATATCCTGAGCTTGCTGAAACTGCTTTAACATGTATTTTCTAAATTTAACATAAATATTTCCTGTGAGATTTGCTTTTCAAACATGAGCATTATTTAAGCAAAACAACACAAAAAGAGTTTAAATATATAGACTCTTCTGGAGGCAGCATTGATACCAATAAATTAGATGAGTTAATAATCAAGGAGTACACTAAATCTTTTAACAGCTACAAGAACATGTTCTTTCAAAATACTCATGTAGGTGTTTCATATGTAAAACTGCTATTTTACTCAATATTTATAATTGCAGAAAAGCAAAAATTATGAATGTAATAACTAGGTATATTGATCACCTGTATGCATACTTTCTATAAATGAGTTCAGTTTTCTCATTTTTTTCTTTCCCTGTATTTGTACTTACTGAATTTATTGAAATTGACTTTATATCTGAATGTGATAAAAAAATTTTAGTCTTATACTTTCTTTGACTTTTTATTGTTTCATTTTCTATTGATCCATTTTATTGTCTTTTATATAAATATTGGCCTTTGAAGGCTTGAAAGTTTTTGAAAAAATGGTCCTTAAACACAAATGGTTTAAGAATTTCAATAGAGAGTTTGACGATTATATGGCCATAGGTGGAGCCATGGAGAGACAAGGAAAGAGCAAAATTCTTCAGCCTCATGACTGGGAAAATGAAGCTTCATGGCCCGAAATAGGGAAGAGGAGCTGGCCTGTCGGGAGAGATGCTTGTTTGAGTTTTAGATCTCTAGATTGTAAGATGATGGCAGAAAATTCAGATACAGGGTCTAGCAGGAGACTGGAGCTCTGGAGCTGGAGCTGAGGTCATAGAAAAGATAAGACCAGGATCATTTGCCTGAAGTCATAGTTGAATCATAGAAATTGTAAGATTCAAAGAAAAGAATGATGTCCTGTGAGATCTGAGCAGCTATATTTTTTCACTCAGTGGCTTTAAATAAAATTGATTTACACCTCCTATCAAGGTTGTTATTCTCCCAACTAATGTAAATTTTCCTATTTGTAACAAGAGAAAGTAACAGAGCAATGATGATGATGATGATGATGGTAACAATAAGAATAATAAAATAATGATGATATCATTGTAAAGCTATAGTAATAATAAAAACAAGTCGTTATGTACTCCTTATGTACCAAGGGCAGTTTATTTCACACAAGAAAGTTAAGGCACAGAGGGGTTAAGTTTAGTGACTTGCTGGAGGTCACTTAATATGTGGTGGAGTTGAGGTTTGAATTCAGACTGTTTGGATTTAGAGCTTGTTTTTTTAACCATTGACTGCCAACCATTAAAGAAGCTGAAGTAAATCTTTCTCAGAGTCATTAACAACAAGCTACACAATATCTTGGAAGTATGTGTGGCTTTCAGGGAAAAAACAAAGCCATTTTTTAATAATCCACTTATTTTTCTGAAAGGTTGCTCTAAGGGGTCTAAACCGATTCTTCTCAAACTGCATTGTGCCCTGCAGATCAAGTTCCCTGCAGATCTTGCTAGAATGCAGAATCCGACCCAGTAGGTCTGAGGTGAGAGCTGTAATTCTGCATTGGTAACAGCTCCCAATGCTGGCCCTTACCCACACTCTGAAGAGCAAGGGTCTGCAAAGTCAGGAGGCAGATTAAGGTATGAGGAACCTGTCCTAGTGGTTAGAGGTAAACTATGTTCTGCACTTTTATCTAGAGGAGTCAGGCTCTTGTTCAATGTCCTTAAATTGTTGAAACTACTATTAATTCATTATTACATCTAGGCAGAATACTTTCTTAAAGAAGAGACTAATATTTTTAAGAAGATATGGGTCTGTACTTTTTTGAAAATCTCTCATAATCACCTTTACCTCTCCTCTTTTTTTCTGGTTCCATTTGGGTTTGACAAGAAGGTTGTGGTTAGAAGCAGGATAGTTTGAGTTTGAATGTCAGTCCTTCTTCGTGAACTACAAAATTACATAGTTTACTTACCTTGTGTGAGTTTAGTTCCCTCATTTGTAGTATAGGGGTGATAATGGTATTAGGGTTATAAGACTGTGGAGAGGATCAATTGAGACAAGGCGCATAAAATATGCTATGGTACTTGGCATGGTACATGTGTTCCCTGAACCTGGGCTAATTATTGTTACAGCTCTATCTCTGCCCATGTGCTGTGTCCTAGTGTCACACTGCCTGTTCCTGTAATGGAACACCTGTGTTCTCATCTGGAACCTCGGATGATTATTTCCATTCTCAGCTCACACCCAGAGCCCCCTCCAAACGTCCTCGCTTTCACGTTTGTATTCATGTTTGTCTTTCAACCGGCACAGGATTTTCACACAATAGTGAAGACATTTATAAATCAGGGGTTTCTAGACTTTGCATGTTTGTTTTCCTACTAAAATAGAATAATTGTGAGCTCTATATTTTGAAGGGAGGAAAAGAAAGGATACAATTTTCTTTGATTTTTTTTTTTTTGTATTCTGTGGTAATACAGGATTGTTCCTTTCAATCTCTCTTTTGAAGAGAAGATGTCATTTTGTTTTTGTTATTTTGTGTAAAGCAGAGATATAGACTAAATAATGAAATAGTGTTGGGCTATAATAGACAGACAATATTAACACAAATGTCTGTATTTTAGAAGCTGCTTTACTTTTTGAAACGGGAAAAACCTGAAACTCTTTCTTTCCAGCTCCAGAGAGAGCCATCCTGATGGAACCTACTGACCAGGAGGACACAAAAGAAAAGAGGGAAGAGATGAAAGAAGGTGAGGGTCTCTATTGCCAGCAGAACTGGACTGTGTGTTTAACTGGAAAGATGATGGAGAATGTAGTTATGCACGGCTCTCTGGACCCTTCTAGTGAAATAAAGAACTGGTTAAATAAGGCAAGACAGAAGAATGAGGCTGCCATCTAGAGGTAGTAACAGGTAATGTTCCAGGGCACAAGGGAGCCAAAGGCAGAGAGCTTCACTTTTTAATCTGTGCAGTCTTCATGCATAATAATGATCTCATTCCTCTGTATTAGTCAAAATCTTCCCATTATAAATGACGAATTATAACCAGATTAAACCAAAAAGTAAAATAATTTTTGACTGATTGATACGGTTTGTATTTGTGTCCCCGTCCAAATCTCATGTAGAATTGTATTCCCCAGTGTTGGAGGTGGGTCCTGGTGGGAGGTGATGGGATCATGTGGGCGGTTTCTTATGGTGTAACGCAATCCACCTTGGTGCTGTCGTCGCGATGATGAGTCCTCATGAGATCTGGTTGTTTCAAAGTGTGTGGCACCTCACCTCTTTCTCCCTCTTGCTCCTGCTCCCACCACGTGAGGCACCTCTCTCCCCCTTTGCTTTCCACCATGATTGGAAGCTTCCTGAGGCCTCCCCAGAAGCAGAAGCCTCTGTGCTTCCTACACAGCCTGCAGAATCATGAGCCAATTAAACTTCTTTTCTTTGTAAATTATGCAGTCTCAGGTTTTTTTTATAGCAGTGAAAGAACGGAGTAATACAATGATATAATTGGAGTAGGATGAGATGGAGTGAGCATTAGGTATGCTGGAACTAGGGGATCAAATGATATCAATTCACTCTCTCCTGCTCAAAAGCATACCTACTCCCCAAAAATGCTTGGCTCTCCTTCTTCTTCCTTTTATTAACATGTGGTCACTATTCTATCATGGGCTTTACCCAGGAAATGAGTTAAAAGGCCACAGCTATGTGTATATGTGTGTGTGTGTTGGGGGGTGGGGAGGGGGTGGAGGTCTTAGTTCACCTCTTCTGCTCCAATACCTATCCACTGATGACTTCTAAACTTTTCGTCAGCCCTATCCTAATTCTGATTTCCAGACCTAGATATTTAGAGGGCAATTTGGCCTAGATGTCTAATAAGTCATTCAACTACAAAGCAGTCAAAATAGAAGGTGCTACTTTTCTTATGTTTTTATCCTTAGCTATTTGTGTTTCTCTTCCATGTTGACGGTGCTACTATCTTTAAATTCCCCTTGGATCTTCATCAGAGATCAGAATTTATAAGTTGATTGATACATGTTCATTCAATAAATATATGTCGAACATGCAAAGTGGAGATGCATCATGTGTAACATAATTTTGTTGTGAGGATTAAATGAAATAACAGGAAAAACACTCAGTAAAACGCTTGACATGCATAATTTCATAACCAATGAATGAAGAGGATACAAAAGATATTTTTAAGCTTGTATCTTTTATCCTATAGTTTCTCAAGTGAATTTGTAACATGAAAGAATATATTTTTCACACCCAGGGAAAGTCACCTTACCACCAGAATATCCTTTAGTACACTTCAGGTTGTGCCTTGAAGTGTTTGTTTGCATTTGTTAATATAAAGGAGAGAAGAGCAGAGAGCTTCTCCCACTTCAGGTAAGCCCGTAAATGGAGCTGTCCCTACTGCATCTCAGGGCATTGTTAGATACATATTTCAGTTTAGCCTGGAATCCGTTTGAAATGAGTTGAGTGTGTGAAAAGCATGGTCATATATATATAACTATATATATATATGGCAATAAACCAATTATTAATAATGTAAAATGTAGTGAGTGATATTACACACCCATCTCTATAAAAGGCATTTTCTCAAACATGCTCTTTAGTGTTTGCTGGAGTCCCATACATTAGGCGTAAAAAATGGCATTGAAGGTAGAGAAGGGGGTACTCAAGGAATGGCAGTCACATATGTGGCAGGAGGAAGTGAACCTAAGCCTCAGTGCTGCATGTCCATCCCTCAGCTCACTGCACCTCAGTGCCACACTTAGCCCTGAGAAAACCTACTCTGCCCACGGACATTCACTGGGGTAGCATCCTTTACAGTTTTCAAGAACAGACATTATTTTCTGTTAGGGGGAGAGCATTTCCTTCATAAGTAAAATTTATCCACCAGTACTGATCCTAGAGGTGTTGAGTGCCTTGAAAGCTCTCTGTGTCATGAACTCTTAGACTAGAAATGAATCTTAAATTAGAATGGCACAAATGTGTATCACAAGCATATAAACACACTCAAGCATACCACGCCTGACATTTAAAATGTCTGGACTAAGAAAATGTGAGGCCAAAGGTTTGGATAAATAAACTAAGTGGACATAGAAGCCCTGTAGGAGATTGACATGAATGTTGTCAAGAAAGGCTGTGTGTGTTAGAGGCCAAAAGGCCTGGATTACTTATGGGGATATAACCAGGGTCTAGACAGCAGAGATGAGGTATCGTTAGCAATTCACCTGGCATGTGCCTTAACATTGCTTTTCCAGCAGGGCAGATAAATGATGGCCTGAAAGCTGCCTCAGAAAATCAAGATGATTCCAGTCTGTTCTCCACAACCCTGGAGAAGAATGGGCATCCCCTATTCTCACTATTCCAATGTCAAGAGTGTCCTTGGGGGAAACACCCGAGTCAGCAGGGGCAAGGAGGCGCAAGTAGCATTTGGTAAACAGCACAAAAGGTCTGTAGGATACAGTGGAAATATTCATGAGGGAAGAGAGCCATGGAAAGAAGGGCTGGGGATAAGAAGCACAAAATTGTAAGAGAATGTGATACGACTTAGACAAGGCTGCTTGCCAAAACTCTGCACAGGCAGCGGTCAAGCTGGTCTTCTAGTCTCCTTGGACAAAAAGGCTCTGTTGTCCTGATTATGAGCTCTCTAATAGAGTATATAGATTTTGAACCTTTGTTTTTGCAGGAAGATGACTTTCTGTAACCATGCAATGTATATTCAACTTGTCATAGAAGTTAACTCTTTAAAAAATGTGGATGCTCTTTATTTCTTTATGTTGGTCTGATTGCTCTGGCTAGGACTTTCAGCACTATGTCCAATAACAGTGGTGAAAGTGGACATCCTTGTCTTGTTCCAGACTTAGAGGAAAGGCTTTTAGTTTTTCCCTGTTCAGCATGATACTAGCTGTGGGTCTCTCATATATGACTTTCATTATGTTGAAGTAAGATGTTAACATTTTATGTATAGTAGAAAATGTCTGCGCTTGGATGCCTATACTGCCTTTGTAACCAGGGAAAAGGCTCTGGTCTCCAATACAAATAGGCTTTGGGAAAGGATCTTTGCAAAAGTGAAAAATCTAGGGAGTCTGTTTTCCTTTGATACACTGTTCTTTAATTTATCATTTGGCTTATCTCAGAGAACAGAAAACATGATGCCAACTGTGTAAGAGAAGCAGAAATGTATTATTACCTATAAAAGAAAAGTCAAAGAGTAGATATAATTTAGGCATGGTGGCCGGGCGCAGTGGCTCACGCCTGCAATTCCAGCACTTTGGGAGGCCAAGGCGGGAGGATCACGAGGTCAGAAGATCGAGACCACCCTGGCTAACACGGTGAAACCCCGTCTCTACTAAAAATACAAAAAATTAGCCGGGTGTGCTGGCGGGCGCCAGTAGTCCCAGCTACTCGGGAGGCTGTGGCAGGAGAGTGGCATGAACCCAGGAGGCGGAGCTTGCAGTGAGCCGAGATTGCGCCTCTGCTCTCCAGTCTGGGTGACAGAGCGAGACTCCATCCCCCCTCCCAAAAACAACAAAAACAAAAACAAAAACAAATAATTTAGGCATGGCATGGCTGGAGACAGAAAATCAGTGCCATCAGAATATATTTTCCCTGTATCTCTTGTTTCTGTTTCCTCTGCTCTTTAACTTCATTCTTAAAGGGGCTCCCATTTGTTCTTACAAGATTGCTGCCTGTGGCTCTGAGAAAACACATCCCAGGAAAAAAGAGTGACAATCTTTCTCTTAGGATTTCTAGGTAAGGAGCAGAATATCAATGGATCTGTTTTAGGTCATGTGCTGATGCCTGCACTAGTGTCTGTGACCAAGGGACTTCCATCTGTAGATGTGCATGGGCCCAGATTATGTGTTCCACCCCAGATCATGATGAAGTTAACACAAATGAAGACACAACCTTGAGGGTAAGGTTAATCACAAAAAGATAATTGAATGTTAGTTTCTAGAATATGGATGGCTGGTTATAGAAACATCAGCAAAAGATGTCTACTCTATTTGATTTTTTCACTCCTTAGTTCCCATACTAGCTACTAACAACACTCATTGTTGCTACAATATTTCTCCTTTCTGATGTAAACCTATAGTGGATTTTCAAATCCCAATCTTGCTAACAAATGAAGGAGCCATAGTGTATTTCATCAGGATCTTCAATATATATATAAGGCTAGATACCAGTAAAGTGGATGACTTACTCTTTTGCATAAACAAAACAGTAAGTGGAATCAAGAAAAATTTAAAGCCACTATGGCCAGAGACACTGATAGTGAATGTGACCCAAAATTATAGTTAATCAGTGGCGAAATTGAGGGCAAAATTCATGTCTCCTTATTTCCATACCAGCGTCCTTTCTTTCTTTGAGTAGGAATCATCCAGTAGCCTAATACTCCTCCTCTCTCCATGGTCTTTTACTTCTCCAACCATAGAAAGTATAACATCCATTTGCAAATGGTAAAAAACAGCAGTAGGCCTGGGTAACCCAGTGATTCCTTCCTTTGGACTTTGTCTTTTGTAGGAAGGATATTTTCTCTTTTGCTCCATGTCTTTTAATTATATTAATGGGGTAGGGTTTAATTCTGCAGATAGGCCTGCAATTGGTGGTAAGTATAATTTTGGGTAACAAGATATAACAAGATACAACAAGATATAACAGTTGGGTTAACAAGCCCAACTGGTGAAGATAATTTAAACTACCCAAAATGGGAGGAAGATGACTTAAAACAATCAATACATAGAAATGAATATCAGCTCTTTTGTTGTTTATTTGTAATAAATGTGATATTTGGTTCTTGTTAGTTTGATTCCTTTATTTTTGTCTCCCATTTTGTTCGACATTTAAGTACAGCATAGGGATGTTATTTAATTTACATCCTCACACTCCAAAAGAAATACTTTTCTGAATTAAGTAGAAAAAAAGAATAAGCAAGTGTAGGTCCTCTGTTATCCATTAATCACATTTTCCATATTTTTCAAATTCTATATGAAAACCAAATTCCCTAAAGAGAAGAGAAAAAAAAAAGCAGATTAGTATCATAAGGAAAGTGAACATTGGTATTGAATGTACTTTTCCTTATCTTCTAAAAGAGGTCCTGAGAAGGGAGCTGCTTTTAAATTCCCTTTACATTCTTCATTTTTCTTGGTTACCACTATAGTTTGTACATTCTTTCTCCATGTCTTGATTATTCAAAAGGTGTCCTATGACATTTTTTATGTAGAGTTTTTCATCCCCTAACCCATTCCCATCTCAATACCTTTCAGTTCAACATAGAAATACCAGATTTTCTTTTTTTTTTTTTTTTTAACCAAGAGGTAAAAGATAACCACAGCAATAATGCTATGCATAATTCACACAGTTCGCTCTGTGCTCAAATTTTTCACTGTTTTCACACTGTCTATTGATTGTAGTCTATTCCCCTTTCTTGGGCATTTATGTTTCACAGAAGACTAACCTCTTATTTTCCATCTTTACATATTACCATTCTCTAAATACATAATATTTCTTTCAGCATCATATTTGTATTACATCTCTAAAGACACTGCACACTTTCTTGATTCCAAGTGTTTTCCCAAACAGTTGGCACTGTGTAGATTGAACAATCCTTTTTCTTTTTTGTGTTCCATTTCTTTAAAACTCCTTTAGCCCTCTCGTTCTTCAAGAGACTTCCCACACCAACCCCTATAATCAGGCTCACCTTTGATATATATCTAATGCACTCATTTGGTTCAAGAATGGCAAACATAAATGCTTGGAGCCTAGTGGGTAATATAAATAAGTGATGTGAACCACTTCCGTTACAAAAGAGAGAGGAAGAACTATGGTTGTTTGGAACATGTGATCTCCATTTGAACAGGGAGCTACTATGAGGCAGTTGAGGCTTATTTATTGCCTGATAAATCCTTGCTTAGTATCACTAAGCAAGTTTGAAATCTGTATTTGTGGGTAAATTCTATCAATGATTTCAAAACTTATTAAAACATCATTTTTTCCAACAAAACCAAGGTTGCTTTCTATTCTCATCAACTTTGTATGCATATGTTCTTTTTGCCAAATAAGACCACAAGCTTTTTAAGAGTATGGACTGTTTCATGTAATGTTCTCTTTTCTTAGCATATATTACCAGAGTGCTAGACTGAGTAGGCTTGAGGGATTCATTAAGGATAGTGAATATGACTTTATAAATTCTGGCCAAGTCTTGGATTCATCATTATTTTTCAAAGATTTTACATTGTTTACAAGTGGCAGATCTCTCTGAGAGCAGTGAGTCCAATTTGCCAGGGCCTTTTCCTCAAAACACTGCCAAGAGCAGAGACCAAGGAATTACCCTTCTCCTCCCATCACTCAAAAGAGCATTAGGACTATTCTTCTTGCCCCAAGATATAGAAATGGCATGGAAATTAAGTTTACACATTCAGGTCATATGGAGAATTAAGCAAATATGCATGTCACTGCACCATTCCTGCCATTGGAATTAATTTTCTGTGTTCCAGAATAAGATATGTTTGATATGAACTGTGCTCATATTGGCTACAATGTTACTGAACAGTTTTTAACTATTTTAACCACCAGAGCTCTTCATTTATTCTTAGACTGAGAAATAAAAACTAGAGTGGTCACAGTACATCTCTCAGAGTTACAAGGTAGATAGGAAGGAAAGAAGGAAAGAGGGAGAGAGAGAGGGAGGGAGGAAGGAAGGAAGGAAGGAAGGAAGGAAGGAAGGAAGGAAGGAAGGAATTACTACACCAGGAATTATTACCAACTTCTGGAGGATGACTTAGAAGCCCAAGGAAGGATGGAAGAAAGTAGGAAGGAAAAATGGAAGGAAGGAAGGAAGGAAGGAAGGAAGGAAGGAAGGAAGGAAGGAAGGAAGGGGAAGGGAAGGAGGGAGGGAGGGAGAAAGGAAATGGATGGAGGGAGGGAGGGAGGAAGGAAGGAAGGAAAGAAGGAAGGAAGGAAGGAGGGAAGGAAAGGGAGGGAGGAAAGAAGGAAGCAAGGGAAGGCAGGAAGGTTTCAGATAACCTTTAAGTTAACTGAAAGGAAAGGGAGGGAGGGAGGAAGGAAGGAAGGAAGGAAGGAAGGAAAGGGAGGGAGGGAGGGAGGAAAGAAGGAAGCAAGGAAGGCAGGAAGGAAAGGAAGAAAGGAAGGAAGGAAGGAGGGAAGGAATTGATGAAGGAAGACAGGAAGGAAGAGAGGAAGGAAAGGAAGGGAGAGAGGAAGGAAGGAAAGAAGGGATTGTTTCTTTAACCTCTTCCCCGTTTTTGCCAAAGATATCTGAGGCCTGATATTTGAGCTGCTAACACTGCTCTGTGAGGTTATGGCCTCCTCACATTTCCTAGGTGAGCCTGAAAGGAATCTCAGAATGATCTTTGTGGGAAGTTGTGAAGTAATAGTCCAGCAGATCAAGGCCCACACTGCGTGTCTGCCTCATTCTATGTGATTTTCCAAAGGCCAGGGCATTATGAGGGAGACCCTCTTACACTGCTCTTTTTAGTAGTGTGTGTACAAACACCACAGAGTATTACAGAAATATTACATGGAAGAGCTACAAAGACATTTCCAAGTCTCTTTTCTGACTATCTCATTCCTAAGAAACCAACAGTAACCACATTAGGAAGGAAGGATAATGTAACTTAATTATTCTATATAGTCTGGTAACACTCCTGAATTCTAGCTCATCTTTGAATGAGAACAGTAGCGCCATTAGTAGAGACCTGGTTAACTTACATTTATACATTTACATTCTTTTTCGTTAAAGGACATTTCAATTATCCTCTGAAATGGAATAATCCTCATGGAAGGGCAACATGATACTAGAAGCTCATGAGGATTATTTTCAAAGAAAGCTGTGCAGAAGAGTTGGCTCAGCAGGCTTGGCATGCTCAAACCAGCTCCTGGCAGGTAACCTACAAGCCCTTGGAATATTCTGTGCAATAGGGTATGTGTGTATATCTAGGACCTGGGTCTGCCAAAGAGTTTATGCTTGCCATGAAATTTATAATGAACACCTGTTGTTGTTTACCTAGGGTCCTGAACCAGTCTATGCCAATTTGATCTCTGGCTGGGCAGGAGCTGGAGATTAAGTATTTAAGATCAGCCATGTAGGTGTTCTGTGCCTACTTGACTAACCCCCATTAAACAGTCTGAACACCACATCTTGGGTGAGCTTCCCTGGTAAGCAATGCTTCATGTGTGTTGTCATGGTAGCAGCAATGCTTCATGTGTGTTGTCATGGTAGCAGGGAGAATTAGGTATCACTTCTGTGAGTCCACTGGGAGAAGACAGCTGGAAACTTGTGCCTGCTCTCTCGGGGACTCCACCTCATGCATCTTTGGTCTTTGCTGATTTTAGTTTGTATCCTTTCATTGTAATAAACAGTTACCATGAATATAACAGCTCTTCTGAGTTTTATGAGTCCTCCTGAATCCTCAAACCTGAAGATAGTCTTGGGGATCCCCAACAGAGAAGATCTCACAGGTCATGAAGAAGTTAACTGACAAGATACAGGACTAATTTGTGAAAACAATTTTGAATGGAGCTAAATATATATTATAAGGAATATTATTGATTCTTTAGTCTAAATTTCCTACTGAATTTATTTGAAAGGCAAAAACAATATGAAAAGTTGACCGTCAATTTTTATACATGTGAGAACACAAAACCCCTTTGCTACTTGTGTGTGTATCTATACCTGCATCTATGTTTATACCTTTCTAGCTGCATCTGCATCTGTATCTTTTTCTATGCCTCTTAATAGCTACCAAACACTGATAGGTGCTATTCATAGGTTTGTCAATGTGACGTATAAAAAAAGTTGAGTTTTAAAAAAAATAACTAGATTTCCATTCATTCCTTGAATATAATCTATAGATTACTCACAAATATAATCTCTGTACAGTTCTCCCAAAACATTATGTAAGCCTTTTTTCTTTTTTAAATGATTCAACTTTGAATATTAACTAAATTCTAGGAGACTTTCTTTCTTCACTCTGTCTGTAGTCTGTCCCCAGTTTTTGTAAATAATACAGGCTATTTTTTTAAAAAAAAAGTATGCATCAGTAAAACCCAATTCCTTGACTAAGTTTCTTTGAAATTTCTGTGAAGAAGTAGAGGCAAAAAGTAATGGCAGTTTATTCTGTACTTACCACTGCTCCACACAAAAGTAACACTCATTCTGGAAAGTGCGGCCATTTGAGGCACAAACAGGTGCTATTACATCAGGGCAGTCTACATCGTAAAATGGTTCCGGTGGCTGATACATTTTACATGGGGGCTGCAAGTACATGATACCATAAAATAACAAATAATAGATTCTCTTCCATCTATTTCTTCCTGTCACTTCTGCCCAACTTAAAAATAATATTAAATCATAACAGTCAATTAATCTTATCAAGGATTCCCTGTGCTGTGGTCTTCTGTCAGGCCAGTTTCTTTTTCTGATTGTAGTGTCTCCACCCATCTTATCATCTCTTCAAGTCATAACCATTTTAATATTCCTGTTTAACCTTGAATGCAAAGTTTTCACTTAGCCTTCATGTTTCAGTTCCAGTAGGAAGTTTATGAGTGGAGATACGTATGTGTTTGTTAACTTCTAGAGGACAGCCCTCAAGTGTCATTGGTCAGAATAAGGATTTTGTGTTAAAACTTATTAAAACTCTCAGGCAAGATGGCTGAATAGGAACAGCTCTGGTCTGCAGCTCCCAATGAGACCAATGCAGAGGTGGGTGATTTCTGCATTTCCAACTGAGGTACCTGACGCATCTCACTGGGACTGGTTAGATAGTGGGTACAGCCCACAGAGGGTGAACAGAAGCAGAGTGGGGCGTCACCTCACCTGGGAGGTGCAAGGGGTCAGGGAACTCCCTCCCCTAGCCAAGGGAAGCCATGAGAGACTGTGCTGTGAAGGACAGTGCTATCCAGCCCAGATACTATGCTTTTCCCACAGTCTTCGCAACCTGCAGACCAGGAGATTCCCTTGGGTGCCTACCGCACCAGGGCCCTGGGTTTCAAGCACAAAACTGGGTGTCCGTTTGGGCAGACACTGAGCTAACTGCAGGAGTTTTTTCAACCCCAGAGGTGCCTGGAACGCCAGCGAGACAGAACTGTTCACTCCTGTGGAAAGGGGGCTGAAGTCAGGGAGCCGAGTGGTCTTGCTCAGCAGGTCCCATCCCCACAGACCCCAGCAAGCTAAGATCCACCGGCTTGAAATTGTCGGTGACAGCACAGCAGTCTGAAGTTTACCTGGGACACTCAAGCTTGGTGGGGGGAGGGGCGTCCGCTATTACTGAGGCTTGAGTAGGCGGTTTTCCCCTCACAATGTAAACAAAGCCTCTGGGAAGTTCAGACTGGGTGGAGCCCACTGCAGCTCAGCAAAGCTGCTGTAGCCAGATGGCCTCTCTAGATTTCTCCTCCCTGGGCAGGGCATCACTAACAAAAAGGCAGCAGCCCCAGTCAGGGGCTTATAGATAAAACCCCCATCTCCCTAGAACAGAGCCCCTGGGGGAAGGGGCTGCTGTGGGTGCATCTTCAGCAGACTTAAAGGTTCCTGCTTGCTGGCTCTAGAAAGAGCAGTGAATCTCCCAGCACAGTGCTTGAGCTCAGCTAAGGGATAGACTGCCTCCTCAAGTGAGTCCCTGACCCCCGTGCCTCCTGATGGGGAGACACCTCCCAGCAGGGGTCTACAGACACCTCCAAGAAGAGAGTTCTGGCTGGCATCTGGCGGGTGCCACTCTGGGACAAAGTTTCTGGAGGAAGGAGCAGGCAGCAATCTTTACTGTTCTGCAGCCTCTACTGGTGATAAGCAGACAAACAGGGGCTGGAGTGGACCTCCAGCAAACTCCAGCAGACCTGCAGAAGAGGGGCCTGACTGTTAGAAGGCAAACTAACAAATGGAAAGCAATAGTATCAACATCAAACAAAAGGATGACCATGCAAAAACTCGATCTGAAGGTCTCCAACATCAAAGACCAAAGGTAGATAAATCCATGAAGATGAGGAAAAATCAGCCCAAAAAGGCTTAAAATTTCAAAACTCAGAAGGCCTCTTCCCCTCCAAAGGATCACAACTCCTTGGCAGCAAGGAAACAAAACTGGATGGAAAATAAGTTTGACAAATTGACAGAAGTAGGCTTCAGAAGGTGGGTAATAGCAAACTCCTGTGAGTCAAAGGAGTGTGTTCTAACCCAATGCAAGAAAGCTAAGAACCTTGATAAAAGGTTACAGGAACTGCTAACTAGCATAACCAGTTTAGAGAAGAACATAAATGACCTGATGAAGATGAAAAACACAGCATGAGAACTTCATGAAGCATACATAAGTATCAATAGCCAAATCAATTAGCAAACAAAAGGATATCAGAGATTGAAGATCAACTTAATGAAAGAAAGTATGAAGACAAGATTAGAGAAAAAAGGATGAAAAGGAATTAACAAAGCCTTCAAGAAATATGGGACTATGTGAAAAGACCAAACCTACGTTTGACTGGTATACCTGAAAGTGATGGGGAGAATGGAACCAAGTTGGAAAACACACTTCAGGATAATATCCAGGAGAACTTCCCCAACCTAGCAAGACAGACCAACATTCAAATTTGGGATAAACGGAGAACACCACAAAGATACTCCTGAAGAAGAGCAACCCCAAGAGACATAATTTTCAGATTCACCAAGGTTGAAATGAAGAAAAAAATGTTAAGGGCAGCCAGAGAGAAAGGTCGGATTACCCACAAAAAGAAGCCCATCAAACTAACAGTGAATCTCTCTGCAGAAACTCTACAAGCCAGAAGAGAGTGGGAGTCAATGTTCAACATTCTTAAAGAAAAGAACTTTCAACCCAGAATTTCATATCCAGCCAAACTAAGCTTCATAAGGGAAGGAGAAATAAAATCCTTCACAGACAAGCAAATACTAGGGATTTTGTCACCACCAGGCCTGCCTTACAAGAGCTCCTGAGGGAAGCACTAAACATGGGAAGGAAAAACTGGTATTAGCCACTGCAAAAACATACCAAAATGTAAAGACTGTCAACACTATGAAGAAACTGCATCAACTAATGGGCAAAATAACTAGTTAGCATAATAATGACACGATCAGATTTACATATAACAATATTAACCTTAAATGTAAATGGGCGAAATGCCCCAATTAAAAGACACAGACTGGCAAATTGGATAAAGAGTCAAGACCCATCAGTGTGCTGTATCCAGGAGACCCATCTCATGTGCAAAGACACACATAGACTCAAAATAAAGGGATGGCGGAAGATTTACCAAGCAAATGGAAAGCAAAAAAAAAGTAAGGGTTGCAATTCTAGTCTCTGATAAAACAGACTTTAAACCAACAAACACAAAAAGAGACAAAGAAGGCCATTACATAATGGTAAAGGGATCAATGCAACAAGAAGAGCTAACTATCCTAAATATATATGCACCCAATATAGGAGCACCCAGATTCATAAAGCAAGTTCTTAGAGACCTGCAAGGGGACTTACACTCCCACACAATAATAGTGGGAGACTTTAACACCCCAATGGCAGATAGATTGATGAGACAGAAAATTAACAAGGATATTCAGGACTTGAACTCAGTTCTGGACCAAGTGGACCTAATAGACATCTACAGAACTTTCCACCCCAAATCAACAAAATATATATTCTTCTCAGCACCATATCACACGTATTCTAAAATTGAACACATTATTGGAAGTAAAACACTCCTCAGCAAATGCAAAAGAAGGGAAATCATAACAAACAGCCTCTCAGACCACAGTGCAATCAAATTATAACTCAGGATTAAGAAACTCACTCAAAACTGCACAACTACACGGAAACAGAACAACCTGCTCCTGAATGGCTACTGGGTCAATAACAAAATTAAGGTAAAAATGAAGATATTCTTTGAAACTGATGAGAACAAAGACACAACGTAACAGAATCTATGGGATACAGCTAAAGCAGTGTTTAGAGGGAAATTTATAGCAATAAATGCCCACAGGAGAAAGTGGGAAAGATCTAAAATTGACACCTTAACATCACAATTATAAGAACTAGAGAAGCAAGAACAGACAAATTCAAAAGCTAGCAGAAGACAAGAAATAACTAAGATCAGAGCAGAACTGAAGGTGATAGAGACTCAAAAACCCCTTCAAAAAATCAATGAATCTAGGAGCTGGTTTTTTGAAAACAGCCTGCTAGCCAGACAAAGAAGAAAAGAGAGAAGAATGAAATAGACATAATAAAAAATGATAAAGGGATATCACCACCAATCCCACAGAAATACAAACTACAATCAGAGAATACTATAAACACCTCTATGCAAATAAAGTAGAAAATCTAGAAGAAATGGATAAATTCCTGGATACATACATCCTCCCAAGACTAAACCAGGAAGAAGTCGAATCCCTAAATAGACCAATAACAAGTCCTGAAATAGAGGCAGTAATTAATAGCCTACCAACCAAAAAAAGCCCAGAACCAGATGGATTCACAGCTGAATTCTACCAGAGGTACAAAGAGGAGCTGATACCATTCCTTCTGAAACTGTTCCAAACAATAGAAAAAGAGGGACTCCTCCCTAACTCATTTTATGAGTCAGCATCATCCTGATACCAAAACCTGGCAGAGACACAAGAAGAAAAGAAAATTTCATGCCAAGATCCCTGATGAACATGGATATGAAAATCCTCAATAAAATACTGGCAAACCGAATCCAGCAGCCCATCAAAAAGCTTACCCACCATGATCAAGTTGGCTTCATCCTTGCGATGCAAGGTTCGTTTAACATATGCAAATCAATAAACACAATCCATCACATAAACAAAACCAATGACAAAAACCACATGATTATCTCAATAGGGGCAGAAAAGACCTTCAATAAAATTCAAAACCTCTTCATGCTAAAAACACTCAATAAACTAGGTATTGATTGAATGTATCTCAAAATAATAAGAACTATTTATGAAAAACCCATTGCCAATATCATACTAAGTGGGCAAAAGCTGGAAGCATTCCCTTTGAAAACCAGCACAAGGCAAGGATGTCCTCTTTCACCACTCCTATTCAACATAGTATTAGAAGTTCTGACCAGGGCATTAAGGCAAGAGAAAGAAATAAAGGGTATTCAAATAGGAAGAGAGGAAGTCAAATTATCTCTGCTTGCAGATGACATGATCATACATTTAGAAAATTACATCACCTCAGCCCAAAAATTCCTTAGGTTGATAAGCAACTTCAGCAAAGTCTCAGGATACAAAATCAATGTGCAAAAATCATAAGCATTCCTATACACCGATAATAGACAAACAGAGTGCCAAATCATGAGTGAACTCCCATTCACAATTGCTACAAAGAGAATAAAATACCTAGGAATACAACTTACAAGGGATGTGAAGGACCGCTTCAAGGAGAACTACAAACCACTGCTCAAGGAAGTAAGAGAGAATACAAACAAATGGAAAAACATCCTATGCTCATGGATAGGAAGAATCAATATTGTGAAAATGGCAATACTGCCCAAAGTAATTTATAGATTCAATGCTATTCCCATCAAGCTACCATAGACTTTCTTCACATAATTAGAAAAAAAATACTTTAAATTTCATATGGAACCAAAAAAGAGCCCATATAGCCAAGACAATTTTAAGCAAAAAGAACAAAGCTAGAGGCATCATACTACCTGACTTCAAACTATACTATAAGGCAACAGTAACCAAAACAGCTATATAGACCAATGGAACAGAACAGAGGTCTCAGAAATAACATCACACATCCACAACCATCTGATCTTTGACAAATTTGACAAAAACAAGCAATGGGGAAAGGATTCCCTATTTAATAAATGGTGTTGGGAAAACTGTCTAACCATATGCCAAAAACTGAAACTGGATCCCTTCCTTACACTTCAAACAAAAATTAACTCAAGATGGATTAACGATTTAAATGCAAGACCTAAAACCATAAATTCCCTAGAAGAAAACCTAGGCAATACCATTCAGGACACAGGCATGGGCAAATACTTCATGACTAAAAAACACCAAAAGCAATTGAGAACAGAAGCCAAAATTGACAAATGGGATCTAATTAAACTAAAGAGCTTCTGCACAGCAAAATAAACTATCATCAGAGTGAACAGGCAACCTACAGAATGGGAGAGAATTTTTGCAATCTATCCATCTGACAAAGGGTTAATATCCAGAATCTACAAGGAACTTAAACAAATTTACAAGAGAAAAACAACCTCATCAAAAAGTAGGCAAAGGATATGAACAGACATTTTTCAAAAGAAGACATTTTTCAAAAGAAGACATTTATGTGCCAACAAACATATGAAAAAAAACTCACCATCACTGGTCATCAGAGAAATGCAAATCAAAACCACAAGGAGATACCATCTCACACCAGTTAGAATGGTGATCATTAAAAAGTCAGGAAACAGGCCGGGTGCGGTGGCTGACGCCTGTAATCCCAGCACTTTGGGAGGCCGAGATGGGCGGATTAACAGGTCAGGAGATAGAGATAATCCTGGCTAACATGGTGAAACCCCATCTCTACTAAAAAATACAAAAAAAATTAGCTGAGCATGGTGGCGGGTGCCTGTAGTCCCAGCTACTCGGGAGGCTGAGGCAGGAGAATGGTGTGAACCTGGGAGGTGGTGCTTGCAGTAAGCCGAGAATGCGCCACTGCTCTTCAGCCTGGGTGACAGAGTGAGACTCTGTCAAAAAAAAAAAAAAAAAAAGAAAAAGAAAAAGAAAAAGTGTCAGGAAACAACAGATGCTGGAGAGGATGCGGAGAAATAGGAATGCTTTTACACTGTTGGTGGGAGTGTAAATTAGTTCAACCATTGTGGAGGACAATGTGGCAAGTCCTCAAGGATCTAGAACTAGTAATACTATTTGACATAGCAATCTCTTTACTGGGTATATACCCAAAGGATTATAAATCATTCTACTATAAAAACACATGCACACATATGTTTATTGTAGCACTATTCACAATAGCAGAGACTTGGAACCAACTCAAATGCCCATCAATGATAGACTGGATAAAGAAAATGTGGCACATATACACCATGGAATACTATGCAGCCATGAAAAAGAATGAGTTCATGTCCTTTGCAGGGACATGTGTGGAGCTGGAAACCATCATTCTCAGCAAATTAACACAGGAACAGAAAACCAAGCACTACATATTCTCACTCATAAGTAGGAGTTGAATAACGAGAACACATGAACACAGGGAGGGGAACATTACACACTGGGGCCTGTTGTGGGAATGGGGACAAGGGGAGGAATAGCATTAAGAGAAATACCTAATGTAGATGATGGGTTGATGGGTGCGGCAAACCAACACTGCACATGTATACCTAGGTAGCAAACCTGTATGTTCTGCACATGTATCCCAAAACTTATTAAAACTGAGAATAAACCCTGTATTTACCACTGTTTAGCTTTGTGAGTTTGAACACATGGAAGGTATTATTTTACTTAATGCTCAGAGATATATTTACTCAATATTTTATTTGACTATAAAGATATTTATTTTACTAAAATATTATATTTTAGTAAATATGGCATATATACACCTCCCTGTGTTCATGTGTTCTCATTATTCAACTCCCACTTATGAGTGGGAATACGTGGTGTTTGGTTTTCTGTTCCTGTGTTAATTTGCTGAGAATGATGGTTTCCAGCTCCATACATGTCTCTGCAAAGGACATGAACTCATTCTTTTTCATGGCTGCATAATATTCCATGGTGTATATGTACCACATAGTAAAGCTTGTGCTACATGGAGACAATCTAATTCTGGAGAGGTCTATGTGCAAGGTCACATAGAATGCTTCCATTCTGCTTTACCTCCATGAAGATTTATTTATTTATTTATAGACAGGGTTTCACTCTGTTGCCCAGGCTGGAGGGCAGTGGTGCCATTATGGCTTACTGCAGTTTCCAACTCCTGGCCTCAAGTGACCCTCCCAACTCAACCTCCCATGTAGCTGGCTATAGGCTTGCCCCACCACACCTGGCTAATTTTTGTATTTTTTTAGACTCAAGATCTTGCTATGTTGCTCTGGCTGACCTTGATCTCCTGGGCTCAAGTGATCCTCCCGCCTCAGCCTCCCTAAGTTCTGGAATTACAGGCATGAGCCACTATGCCTGACTTTCCATGAAGTTTTAGATCTCATGTCAAGAGCGTGATTAGACTAGAATTACGATCTAGAACTGTGAATTTTAAACTTACCTTAGGCCATTTAGTGAAGTCGTGTTTTTTGAAAATTGCTGCAAATAAAGAACAAACACAGTAAGTTAAAGGAAATAGTTCTCCATGGGATATCATATCACCTATTGAAGTCACTGACTGAATAACGTAATTTCTCATTTACAAAAATGTATACAAAATAATTTTAATAACAATAGAATTTGCAGTAACATTCCTTTTAAAATTACTTTATCCATTTATTCTTTCTTTTTCACAGTCTTGATTTTATTTATAAATTTGCTGTGTCAGTAAGGAAAGAGTAAAAACTGTTTGAGGTTGTATATATAATTTACAAATAATTTTATTTATTTATTTTCACTTTTGTTGGCTTTAGCTTCCTCTTCACTGCAATTGGGTTAATTACATGCATTTTTAAAATTTAGAAAATAAATATGATATAGTAAGTAATGTATCAGGCCAGTTCCTACCAAGATGCCGAATTAAAGTGGACACAGGGATGATAAGAAAACTGAGGGAGTTCGCTGGCTTTCAGGATACTGACTTTATGGGGTGCTTCTATGAGGGTTGCTGGTGTTGCCTGGGATAGAGGGTTACTAGCTGCCCGTGGGAAAATGAAATAAGAAAGTACTTATTGTATTTTGGTCTTACTTATCTGTCACTGTTAAGTGATATTTAAAATATAGTTAGAATTTTCAAAAGTTAAGAGGAAAATTCTGCATGATATTTAGAAATCTTCCCACAAAGAAAAGACTACCAACCTTTTGAGGAATAGGTCTTGCTGATTACATGTACCCTCTTTCAGAGAACAAAAAAGATAGAATGCTTTTATCTACTTCTGAAAGGTCAGAATATTTTTACGACAAAGGTAACTGGATATAGTTACAAGAAAAAAAAATAAAGGTCTTCATCTAGTAAAAATGAAACAAAATTACATGTATATACTGCACATCATGCATAAGAATTAATTCCAAATGAATCAGGATCTAAACATAAAAAATAAAACTATATAATAATTAAAATGACATAATTTTTTAATTATAATGATTCATTAATCTAAATACAATAACAGAAAACACAGATGTATGTTTTTACTTAAAAATTAAAACAACTTCCTGGCAAAAAATAAACATATACAATCTAAAAAGATTTTTGATAAAGTTCTAATATGTCTAATATAAAGAACTCATTAAAATTGAGGGAAGAATAAAACAAGAAACCTAACTGAAGAACAGACAATATACATGCAAATATAATTTACACAAGTATACATACTCAAAAAGATACAGAAATGAGCCTTGAATCTCTAAAGGAAATTCAGCCTTACTCATGCTAAGAAAAATGCTAATTAAAACTATATGGAAATACCATTTATCACCGATCAGATTAGCTGTTGAGAAAGAGGTTCCTGGTGGGAATCCAAATGGGAAGAATGTTTATGAAGTAAAATTTCACAATATTGAACAAAACTATATTTGCATTTACAGAATTCTTATTCCATGCTTTTGCAAAATGTGAGCCTACAAATTAGAATTCAATGTATAAATGACTTTTTTGTCTTCAGAGTAAGAGTATATAGTTCAGCTAATAGACTCAAAGATAAGTTGGGTTAGTTCCATTCCTCCCATTTTGGTGTAAACATATTTTTCTTTTAAAATATGGCTTACTTAATTTGTTAAAGACAGACCTGAAGTTTCGGTACTTGTGATTTCTGGTGTGGATCCTGAGAACAGGAAGTATTGGCATCCTAAAGGTCTGACATTTGCATAACAGATTGGCATAAAGATAAAAAATAGATCAGTGAAAAGGATAGAGTCCAGAAATATAGGCATCTAAGAAGTTCAAAAATACACACTTCTGTGGACAAGTGCTTTTTGGCAAAGGTGAAAGAACAATTTAGTGGAAAAAGAATCATCCTTTCCACAAATCACACTAAAACAACTGGGCTTCTGGAAGGAAAACAAAAAAAGAATCTCAATTTATATATTGCACTATCATCTGAAACATTTTTTATTATCTAATATTTTTTAAATTTTAGTTTTCTAATGAAAAGTTATTAGTTCATGCAGCAACTTTGGAGAACCATCTGGCATTATCTTCTGGTATAGAAAATTCACACACATTGTAGCATAGCAACTCTACTCTTAGATACATACCTAAGAGAAACGCTTGTTCATGTGCATCAAAAAACATGTGTAAGAATATTTCTACCAGCTCTGCCCTTAACATCATAAATTTGTAAGTAAACCAAATGTCCATCAACAGAAGAGTAATGAAATTAGGGTATAGTCGCACGTTGGGATATTATTCATTGGTGTGATATTATTCATCGATGAAACTAAATGAACAACTGCACACATGAATATGTATAAATTTAAACAGTAGGTAGGAAAAAGCAAATCTCAAAAGATGAAAAGATTCTCTTATGTAATATTGAATTAAAAAGTCCTAATAATAGGCAGGGCATGGTGGCTCACGCCTGTAATTCCAGCACTTTGGGAGGTTGAGGTGGGCGGATCACGAGGTCAGGAGATTGAGACCATCCTGGCTAACACGGTGAAACCCCGTCTCTACTAAAAATACAATAAAATTAGCCGGGCATGGTGGCGGGCGCCTGTAGTCCCAGCTACACGGGAGGCTGAGGCAGGAGAACGGCGTGAACCCAGGAGGCGGAGCTTGCAGTGAGATCGCACCACTGCACTCCAGCCTGGGCGACAGAAAGAGAGACTCCATCTCCAAAAAAAAAAATAATAAAAAAAATAAAAAAAAAAAGTTGTATATGACAAGTTATATAAATGTTACATAAATGTTAAAATAATTATAAAAATATATTTTCCATGATGTGTATAAATAAAAGACTATATTAAAAATAAGAGCACGAGAAGAATGGACATAAGATTTAGAATGACTGAAACTGAAGTAAGAATTTTGGGAAAAAATAAATTAAAAAAAGATGTAGAAGTGTGTTTTTATTGGATGAAGATAGACAAGAGAATTGGATCACTGAATACTACATTATTGGATTTGAGCTTTTGTTGGTAGTCTAGAGTTTTGCAGGAATTATATATTCATGGTGCTTTTTGATTGAACCCAATGGAATTTATTGAACCAAGTATTGTGATTAATCCAATTCTATCCAACTGAGGCATATTTAAAATAATAAAGTATATTACAGAGAACCTACACACAGCAGGCAATCAATTGATAATAGCTACATTTTTAAACATTCATTTATTGAGCATTTACTTTGTATCATGTATTTAAGGATGATCTGGAAATGCAAACATGAGGTTGTACTGTCTGCTTTACTAATTTGTAACTGATTTGCAGGTGTACTATTTTCTTATTGCTGTTGTAATGAATTGTCACAAATGTAGTGACTTAAAACAACACAAATTTATTCTCTTACAATTCTGGAGGTTAGAAGTCCTAAAGTCAAGATGTCAGCAGTGATGCATTCCTCCTGGAGTTTCTAGGGAAGAATTAATTTCCTTACCTTTTCTAGCTTCTACAGGCTGTCTGAGTTCCTTGGCCCATGGCCCTTTTACTGCACCATTCTAACTACTTCTTCCATTGTCACATCTTCTCTGACTTCGGCCCTCCTGCCTCCCTCTGATAAGAATCCTTGTGATTATATTGTTCCACCTGAGTAATCCAGTATTAGTTTTCAATCTTAGGATCCTTAACTAAATTACATCTGCAAAGTCCCCTGTGCCATGCAAGGCAACATATTCACAGGTTCAAGTGATTAGGACTTGGACATTTTGGGGAGGCATTATTCCCTCTATAATCAGCAGGTAACATAGGTTTTGTTTTTATACATTCATGATTTTTACTATTGAACTCTAAAGACACATGTCAAACAAACATCAATCACAGAAATAGCTTTTATTTTTCATTGGCTTATTTTTCATTTTCATATTTATCATATCACTTATCATATTTGAAAGCCATAAGAAAATGCATCATTTTTTCTAGGAAAAAATAACAATTGTAGTGTATATTGCTTACAATAAAAAAATCACAATTTTCTCTGCTCTAGAGGATTTCTTTTGGATCGACAGAATAGACACGAAGTTGTGACTCCACCATGTAGAAAACAAGTTTGATTTTTCTATTTAAGAATATATATTTTAATTATACCCAATTTGGACTACACTGGCTTACATTTCAGCAAAATATTCCCATAAAAGTCAAAAATTACTCGTTTTCTTTCCTATAACTTTAAGAAAATCAGAGTTTATCTCCCAAAACCTCTTAGGTTACTCACCTGAGGAAACCATATGTGTCAAAGTAGAGGATATCAGGAAAAATATAATCTTGTGGGGAAAGGCAGCCATTTGATCTCATATGGCACTCTTCTTTGATAAGGCCTGTGAACATGCCCAAGATTCTTTGTTTTTAGTTTCCTGCACAGCTAGCTTTTCCAATGTGAGAGAACGCAATACCCTGTGGTGATACCATTCCCGTACACTTGCCCTGGTGGTTCTTATACTGACATGGTCTCCAGGAACTCAGGCCTGAGACCCCTTTTTCTTTCAAGAGGAAAATGAAAAACATAAAAACATGACTTTTTTTTTTTTCTGCCAAAACCTAGCTGACAATCACAGTTCTGGCCTGGGAGAAAAATTAAGCTCAAGATTCATCAGCGTTGACTCAAATTCTATCACCTATACATAGGTTCACCCTACAATTATTTAATTATCTCACAGTTAATTACCTAAGCTACTGCCTTCTTATTAGTGAACACAAACATGTAAAGAATTCATAAGAATTCTGAGGTAACAGGTGTAAACTGAGGGCTGTCCTGTACAGTCTTGGACCTATCACCCTATAACATGTGATTCCCTGGGATGGACAACTTTCTCCCACATTTAAGCCCTTTATTTCCCAGCTAAATTTCTCTTTGCCAGGTCAGTCACATGGGCTCAAATATAAAGAATGGGTTAAAAATGGAATCGTTGGTTATGCTTAATAAAAATTGTGTATACCTTCCCTGATGCAAGAATCAGGAAAAAAAAAAAAATGTGACTTATGACCTTGAATTGAGCGAGATGCTAGAAATCACAGAGTTTGGAGTTAGATGGGAGTTCAGATTCTTGGTTTAACGTCTCTGAGAATTGTAGGCCTCAGAAAGTATGAACTTCATAGGATATTGAAAGAATCAACTGGTATTAATATAAGCAGAGTTTAAACATGTTAAATTGATAATTTGTTTAGCCCAACTTTTCTTTGCTGTGAGTGAAATATTTAGGCCCAGGGAGAAGATACCTTCCCAGTCCATTTCCTTAACTTGCTCACGCCCTATTCTATCCATTCTGTCTGCTTTCAAAATTGTAGCGAGGCATATAGAGAAATGAAGGAGAATCGTAAATAAGCATGACATTTTCTCCACTTTAATATGCAGAGGAAACAAAAGGAGGGTATTAGAGGGAAAAGAGGGAAATGCACTGACAGAGAGGAAAGCTGAAGAGACCCCACCACTGACTTAGACTAAGGAGAGAGAAATCAAAGAGTAGTTACCTGGATGAGGTGGCTGAAGATGGGCCTGCTCTTGTCACTTTGGGTGTCACAACTAGCCTTCAGAAGAGCTGCTGTTCCAGAAGTCTGTAGCCAAGGACATGCAGCAGTGGGGGCTGACTCATTGCATAGCTGAGTGACCAATTGCTTGGCATGAGTTTACTCTAATGGCTCTTTCTGAGTTTGATCCCTCTCCTGAACCACCCCCTCTGATGTGTCTTGTTCCAGCAGGAAGAGACAGACCTGGAGGTTCTGTACTTGTGATTTCTGGTTGTGGATCTTGAGAACAAGAAGTACTGGGATCCTAAAGTTCTGACATTTGCAAAGCAGATTAATGACCTACCACATTCCAGATCATTTGGTGATTGTGTGTGTGTGTGTGTCTGTGTGTGTGTGTGTGTGTGTGCGCGCGCGCACCAATTTCAAGGTGGTTCCAGCCTTTCTAGTCTTCTCTGACCCTTATTCTCAGAAGTCACACCTGTTCTGTCTTTCTAGGATATAATGTTTGTTTTTCTATTAGCCTGGGTAACTCCCCAACCAATAAGGTTTGCAATATCCAAGCCTCCTAATTTCTCTACTTATTAGCTTATATGACGCTTCAGCATAAGCAAGCCTAAAAACTTGCCATTATCTGGAAAAGTTCTATTTCACAGGCTTTAAACTCTCCTAGAGTAGTTAGTGCTCTTTTATGGCTTTGTGTTCCCGTACTAGCTTGAATTCCATAGTCTGTCATTAATATTTAGCTCCTTGACATGTCCATCCTCTCTTGATGTCCTGTCCTCTATTTTTCCTTCTTTCTTCCAAGTTGGGATAAATTCAGCTTCTTATTTTCCTGCTCCAGACCTTGGTTGTGGAGAAAGATAGAAAAAGTTCCATACAGGGGACTCTGTGATCCTGATAACATCATTATTTACCTAAACTCTTTAGACTCCAGTGAAAGCTTCTTATTTAATGTCATTTTCCTACCTTATGCCACCTGTCCCATACCATTTTCTTTGTTTTATGCAATTTGTTTCCACTATCTGATCCCATTCCACCCATATGACTTTGAGTGGAAAACTTCATCTCTTAGTTACTGAGTAAACAAGCTTCAGGATGAACAAGCCCTGTCCACTATTTTCCTTTTACTTTAAAATTCTGGAATTTTTATGATCTACCTTTTTTCCCTCTGTTTTTATTCTTCACTCCATATCAACTTACTGAGGGATCTACACCTTCATTCATTCTTTTCATTCTGTCGGCACCTGGCTATGGAGTTTACATTTCTCATCATATTTATTCCTCATAACAATCCTATGAAGTATATACCACTGAGTCTTGTATAAGAGAAAAAGAAACTGAGATAGGGATAACTCAAAGGGATAATTCATTTGCTGAAGCTACCAACTAGCTACTAACCATGCTACAATGGACAGAGATGACAT